ATAAAGTGCTTTCAGGCAGAAAGTTGTTGGGTTTTTTAGTTCACTGAAAGGAGAGGGTTTAACTGAGGAGCTGAAGGTTGAGGAACGTCCAGGAGGAGCAAAGGCACAACACAAACAGAGATTGGTCACATATCCCGTGTATTTGTATGGACATGAGCACCATTATCTGCTGGGAGAAACTCCATCCCGGGGGAATGGGGCCACTTATTTCCTGTTGCTTTTGTTGAGGGGGACGTGTGTTCCTTTCACACTGAGAGACTCCAAGGAATCTTTGGGCACTCTGGAACCTCCAGTTCCAAGTAGCTTCTCTCTGGAAAAAAACAACAACAACAATCACAATCACCACGGGAAAAGGAGGGATAAAACCTGCTGTTCCTCCTCACGATGACAAGAATTGGCTGTTCATGAACACATCTGCTCCAGAATTGGATTTTCCTTGTGCTGCTGGAATGTCCTTATTCAGGAAATTATTCCTACCTTTTATAGGTATATATCATATATATTATTATTATATATATTATATATTCCTGCCTTATATAGGTAGGAAACTGTTTTTACCTTTTTGATCCATTCTCCTTATAATTGATACTTCTGGATTTTGGATTTTCTAAAGAGCTTCTAGTTCTGGATGGTCTGAACTTCATGACCTCCTTCTGCCACTCCTCATCAAAGCTCTGGGCCTCATCTGGAACACAGATAAATTTACAGTTTATTTTTAATAAAGACAAGAAAATAAACATAATGAATATTGGTGAGTTTGAGTAGTGATTTTTTATTTTGTAGTCCATATTCTCCACATGGTCTGCAGCTATTTTTTGGGGAAAGAGGATTTGATGTGCAGACTTTCAGTCTGTTTAAAGTCCCTTTTAAGATGCCTCAAACTCCCACACTGGTGTGTGAAACAGTGTAAAGCCCATTAGAGAACTGCCTAAAAAGGACCTACTTTCATCCAGGTTGATGAATTCTTGGTTCATCTCCTCATCCCCAGTCTTGCAGTTCTTGGATTTTTTGATGACATGAGCCCGATCCTGGATGTGATGGCCAATGGCCATTTGTTCCAGGCCGCTTTCAGAATCCTTAAGTGCTTTTCTTGTCTCCTTAACCTGTACAAAAAAAAAAAAGGGGAAATCAGTATCTTTCCAATAAAAACAGAAGTCAAACCAGTTCACAGAATCCCAGAGTGGTTTGGGTTGAAGGGACCCTAAAGCCCATCCAGTGCCACCCCCTGCCATGGGCAGGGACACCTTCCACTAGCCCAGGTTGCTCCAACCCAGCCTTGGACACTTCCAGGGATCCAGGGGCAGCCACAGCTTCTCTGGGCAACCTGTGCCAGGGCCTCCCCACCC